TTCAGGAAAAGAAACATAATATCTTTGGCCATGCTTTTACCTACAACATATAGAGGTAGAAACTTTTTCTCAAGATAGCACAGTTTTCAAAATCAACACTCATGCTGAAAATTTTCTATTGATCAAAAATTAAATATATGGAATGTTTATTTAAAGACTACAGATTCTCCTCCATTAAATATTCTGATAATTTAATCCTCATATGTCTCTGGGTGCCAGCCCCAGTGGACTGCCTATTTCTCACATTATAAGTTTTAAGAAGATAACAAAACAAAAGTGAAATTCTAAACCAAATATGAATTAAAGAAGATGTTGGAATTTTAACCCAAGTTTTTTGGTACAATAGGATTAGTAATATACATAGCAAATTGATTCTGTCTCATTGTAATTCTTAGTTCAACAGCTAAGCTGTAGGTAACATGGGAACTTACAAGTTAATGTTCTCTTGAGAGATGAAGCAGAATTCCATCAGAGGGGTATTTCTGCAAGAATATAACTGACCCTCAAAATGGTCACCATCCATCCACATACTCTCAGTGTTCTCCGTTCCCACCCCATTATGGATCTTGGTATTATTTCTATTCAATTCCCTAGTAAATGGCCAATGGGAGTGAAAAGATCCATTAATTTATTTTTGGAAGTAAGGAAAGTTTGGGAGATGTCACTGCCAACATAAGCATTATGTATAACATGTAATCCTTAGAATCAAGTTCTTCTAATACTTAAGTGATAACCAGAAAAAAAAAACCAAATCAAAACAAGTATAAACCAAAGCCAAATAATGTGAATGTTGTAAAAGTTCAGCTGCAGATAAAGAAAAATACTCCAGATTCAATGATATAGGAATTTAATTCTTCCACAAATACAACAGTCTGAAGATAGATAAATGAAGGCTGGCTTGGTGGCTTCATGACCATTAGGACCGAAACGCCACCATTTTTCCCCCCATCATTCTCAGAAGGAATTGGTATTTGAGATCATCACATGGTCCAAGATCTTTTTGGAGCTCCAGCTATCCTATCCCAGGTAAAAATAAAGAAAAAAGACCAGATAAGTGTCCCCAGTTTGAAAATTAGAACTCTTTCATATTGTGATTGTTATGATCATTGCATCAAAGATAGCCCCTTTAGAATAGATTTAGTAATACTGGGTCTAATTATGGATCATTCAAAATTATCTGGATATATAACAGTAACCACCCTTTAGATTTATATTTTCTGTGATACAGATGCAGTTTCCTTTTAACACAGGATCTATCAATGCTATTTCTTTAAGCACCCTAGCATTTTATGCGTTTATTAATAGTGAAAACTTAAAGAACTAGTGAGCTCTAGCTATATAATTTTATGTTGAATTTAATGATGTATAAAACTGCCTAAGATCTCAGCCTTTTCATATTTAGGCAAATTCAAATGTGTTGTGATTCTGAATTAATGAAATGTTATTAAAGTGTTCTGAGACATGCCATAGACACATTAGCTTATATCTTAAATGACTCGTCAGACATTTAGAAATTGTTTCTGAAGTATAGGAACCAACTCTCCACATTAATTCAAGCTCTGGAATTCAAACTTTAAGTTCCATTGAAAATAAACAAGTCAAATAGATTACGAGGAATTTTAATCGAAATGGAATATATATCCTGCTTAAATTGAAGTTATTCAATACATTCTTAGAATTTGGGATCTTAGGATTTAGAACCAGAATTCATTAGATTATTTTACATGGTTAAAGTTTTGAAATAAACTTTACATTTCAGCATGGAATTATTTGGGAAAAAAAATCTAGGTTTGTGTAGTGAAAATTATTCTAATATTTATTTTACTTTATGTCAATTTTTTTGGTGATTTTCACACACTAGGCCAGTGCTATACCACTGAGCTCTACCTCAACCCTGATAAATTTTTTAAGAATCTTAATTTTTGAAACAGTCATGAACTTCTGTGATCTTACAATGGACATACATTTTAAGAAGAAATAGACTGCTATTGTAATTTAAGTGTCATTTTATAATTACCTAGTAATCCAGATTTCAAATATAATACTACTTATTATAACTTTAAGGTTTTTCAAATGCACTAGAAAACAAATGAAGAAGTGCACATTTGCAGTCCATAAAGTTAAAAATTCTTAAAATACATTGCTATTGAAAGAGTGTACAAAAATTATAATTAAGCATTGAAAACCCCTTTTAAAGTGCTCTAAAGTATAATAATAAATGATTTAGCTGAAGTTCAAAACATTATTATTTAAATGGTCTGTAATTATTCTAATCTGTGACATTAATTGTCAAATGTATTTCATAATGGATAGCTGTCACAGCTTAATTATTATACTTTAGGTAGTACTATATTCTTCACATATTAACTTCAGTGGTTTTAATAAGAAAAAAAGATACTGCAAGCATAAATGATCAAGTCAACATCAAATTCCTTTGCTTCATTACTCTCTCCCACGAATCAGTGATGACATAAAATATGGCTAATCAGAGCTTTAAAAGGAAAGTATCTGAAATCCACCCTTCAAATTTGTGCCTGTGCCTACTGTTCTGTTTTCTAGCAGTTTCTATCATGACCTGGCATTGGTTCTCCAGACTCTTCTCTCTAACCCTCTACCTGGTCTCCACAACTTTTCTTTACCTACTTCTTTCCTTCCCTCCAATTCCTATGGAAAACCATCACTGATCTTTAAGATAAGAGAAATAATGTAATAAGCTAAGAGAATGTGTTAACAGTTTTTATGGGTTTGAGATTTTTACCTTGTCCCTGGAATATTTGCCACTTACCTGGAAGGGACACCAGATCAGCCAAATAAAGGAGAAAACTTTGCAGGCAAAAATGTCTATTCCAGTTACATTTAAGCCATAGAGGCCCCTGTTGCCCACATTATTTGAGCAAATAGTCATTCCAGTGAAATTTGGAAGTCACTTCACTGAGTTAATCAGATAGTACCCGATCAGAGGACATTTTTCTGAAGTTTTGTTATTTCTTATTTGTGGGTAATGATGGATAAATTATGTCTCATCGCCTAATTTTATAGAAAATGAGATGATAAAGATTACACTGAGGACTCTGAATGTTTATAACAGGGCAAACACAATACACAATATGTGACTTTTTAAATGATGCAGTGTGCATAAAATATAGCCAAAGCTACTTCTCTAGCAAGGCAGCTCTTTCAAGGTTGTCTGCATAGCCTTATTATCCAAAATGACTCAACAAAACTCTTCATTACCTGTGGATGTGTAGAATAAGCTGTGCCTAGCCTGATGAGAATCATAAATGCCGTGCTTGATTCAACCCCATCTATGTGGTCATAGAATGATATTTTTCCTCCTAAGTAAAATGAATAACCTTTCTGGTTGCTATCTTGCTTTAAAGTCCCTTCAGTGTGTCTTGATGTCAGAAGCAGGACAAGCAAGTTATCCTGTGCCTTATAAATAAAAGTAATAATGGTAGTGAGGCCAAAATAAATTTGGAAGAGTTATATTATGTTCAGAATCGCTTTGCTCACGTAAATAGCCAGTTCTTGTCTGTTTGGTTACCGTTCACTGGCTTGGAGGACCTCTGGATTGCGAGGGCACTTTAATAGACATGGAAATGGCCTTCGAAGCCTGCATGCTGTGTTCAGGTCAGGAGATGTCAATATTTAACTAGCTCAGGGTGTGAGAAAAAGGCTTAACCTCACCACATGTCACTGCAGTTAGTTAATTCGCTCTGACTTCTACCTTAGATTGTAACCATCATTGATATTTCTCTTTAGAAAATAAAAAAAAAATGGCTAATGAGATATATTTTTATGAATGGTCATGAGAAAAAAATTAGATCCAATCTAGAAGACCATCATTTTCAGAAGTGGTACTCTGAAAGGCAGGCTGTAGAGTGATTTCCTCAGGCTCCCTTCTGGCCAATTCATGGAACAGCAGTAATCAATCACAATTGTTTTATAGAATTGAGCTGCTGGTACCATGTCACAACAAACTGATTAAACCCTCCCAGAAGAAATCACCAACTTTATTGGGACTAATGATATCTAAGATCTTAAGTTAGAAAGCTGTTTTCATTTACCCTTCAAGGAAAAGTCTTGCTTTTGAAACTCAGCAAATCCAATTTAATTTTTTTCAGAATGGACCTTATCCAAGTGGCTTACTACATAATTTTTTTACATTTTAGGATATCAGAGGATATTGTGTTTTCAGAATAATAATGATTATCTCCCATTCAAAATGTTTTACTAATTAACCCATCTTGATATAGTATGTCAAATTACTGTTTACATTTTCTCATATTTATTTATTTTAATTTAGTACAGTTAACATTACAATTTTTTTTGGTTCTTTGTTCTTTATTATAAGACTTGAAAATCACATAGGTGGTTTTAAAACATAAATTTCAGGATTATCTATTTTTGATGCCTGATGAAATCAATCAATAAATGTTATTTGGTAATAATTAAATAAATGTAATCTGATAATTATGCTATTTGATAATGTTGAAATTATTTGAAATAATGTTATTTGACAATAATTTATAAGCATGCAATGAAACAGTGGATGATTGTGTCAGATTTTACTATCATTATTATAAAGAGAAAATTAAGGATGGAATAAAGCTCAAACCAGTAAAACCCACCCTTCTTTAATCCCATCCTCCCATCTTCCATCCTCCCTCCTCATTTTTCTTTCCCCCTCACCCTTCTCTTTCTATCTTATCCTTGATGGTGATAAAAGCTATACAAGCCATCTGAGTCCTCGAATCTGAACTAGTTTGTGGAAGTAAGTTATTACCCATTTTAGAAATGTATGTTATTATCTGCTTAACACTGAAATTATATTTTTATATGTTTTTTAGGAAAAATGAATCTCAAGTATTTGATAATCTAGAAAATGGCTAGTAGTTTACCCTCAGATAGAAATGGATGACTCTCTACTTAAAATAAGAAAAGCAGCAAAGGACACAAAAAGGATTATCAGAGCTCTTTTCTCTTTTTATCTTTTTCAGAATAATGTCAATAAACTCTTCTACCTGGAGGAGTAGAGAACAGGCACTAGAAGATCATTTAGAAGACTATAAAAACAATTTGTGATACAGTGAGGACTGTGACTATGGCCACAGGTTACAAAAGGAGATACGATTTTCAAGAAACATTTCTGAGGTATACTCAATAAAATTATAGAAAGTAGACTACCACTTAAAATAAAAAGCTGCAATGAGAGGGCATTCTCAAAGAGTAGAGAGCGGTAATTTAAAAATGCAATGTGCAAATCCTAGATTCTGGAAAAGTGAAAAATAATATATTTGTTTAATTTCCACACTGTTAATGCTATTATTTTTCCATATTCAAATGTAACTGTGACTGTGAGCATATACATTTACCTGTTTTAATAGAAAGCATTAAATTTTGACAATATAAAATAAAGAAATTTTTAATGGAAAAATTTCTCAAAATTTCTTAACAAATGATGTATTTTGGCAGACACTACTAGTGGATATTTCTATGCAAAATAATTGGGATAATCCTTTAGAAATCGTATTTCATTTCTCTATAAAATATAATTTAGCATATACAATTGGAATTTGATCATGGTACAAATACCAATTAACGATGATATATTTTTAGATACCAAGCAAGTCTGCAAAGGAGTACTAGAAATCATATATAGTCATGTGTCCTTTAATGACAGGAAAATGTTCTGACAAATTAGGCAATATTTGGTACAAGTAATATTTACTTACTTTTTTCAATTACCCATGTGTTTTATATTTATTTGCTTACTCAATTCTCCAGTAATCCTCTGAGATCATTTTAAATGAAGTGTGTTAGATTAAGTTGTATGAAATAATCATCAAATGTCAGATACTTAACCGGGCAAAGGTTTGTTTCAGTGTTTTGGTCCATACACAAACTCGCTCTAGGTTGAGAATGTATGGGAATGGTTCTATTTTACGTAGTCGCTCAAATCCAAGGCTATTAGAGGTACTGCCATCTGTTAATATTCACATGAAAGGTACACAAATTACTTGTGCCTACACTGCTTTGGCCAAAACACGCTTCATGGGCACATTTAACAGTAAGGATTAGGGAATCAGGAACACAAAAAAATGTCCAATAAGACCACTGTCTGCCACAATGTGTCCTTATTATATGAAAACTATTTGATTCTACTTAATTCTGTGTTCCATAACCATGCTTTGCTTGAAGGCTATGCACATTTTTTATCTTGTTTTCTGCTTGAAGCAAAACAAGACATAGCACTGTTTTAGAGTGGCTTATAGTTTCTTTGGCAGTACAATGTGTAAAGACCTATAAATGAAGTCATTTTTCTAATTGAAAGACAGTGTAAGCCAAACATATAATTGTATCTTTAGCCTGATATTCTGTGTCTTAGCAAAAGATTTTAAAACCATAACCTTAATCTGATCTGTGCCATAGAAGTTGGCTTTAATTTGTTGTTATCATTCCAATTCATTCTCAATTTCAACTCCCAATGCTTGAGTTATCCAAGCAGCTAGAATATCTAACACTGCAAAGCCTCCTTATCTCTGGAATCGACCCCACTTCTTCTAATTCTGTTGGAAAATTAGCTCATCTCTTTTTTATAACATCTAGCCCCAAACAGGCAATGAAGACTAGCACATATCAATAATACTTTGATTTCCATCCTTTTTTTATTCTGGCAACAGGTTTTAAATATCTTGCTAAATTTTTAAATGAGAGTTAAATCAAATAACTTAATACTGCATGAAAATGATCACAGTATTTCCAGTCTCCAATATCAGTTTATTTGCAGTTGACCCCTTAGTACTAAGCCAATACCATAGTACAGAAAACACTATACACCTGATAATAATATATATTGTAGAAAGTAATACAGCTAGTATTTTAGCCACTGTTGCTATCTTCTACCAATCATACAAGGTTCTTTTTAGTCACCTTAACTTTGATGTTTCTTTGAATACTCTTAAAACACTGAAGTCCTCAATTTCATCAGCACCCTCTTGTTTTTCTCACTTTTCATAATTTCACACTCTCAATGGAATATCTAGTGAGCACTGTAACTTTGTCACAGTATCTTCTACTATTTTCCCACTTTACAGATGATTAAAAGGAATCACAGTGGAGTTAAACTACCAGTCCAAATATACACAACCGACAGAGAGTAGTTCTCCAGAGTACAGGTTCGCAAATGCATCACTACTAATTTAATTCTCCCAAACCTGTTCTTAGATGTCTATTATTTCTCATTTCACAAACTACGATTTTAATTCTCACTGAGTGTCAAAGAAAGAACTGAAATAGAATTAAGCAAATATGTTTACTGTCTGGTAGACCCTCTCACTAGAGCATGTCCCCAAGCTGAATTCAGAAAGTGTATTGTCCTTCCCAAAATTCACCACCTCCACTGTATATTTTGGTCAAGTTGGTGACATCACCATCTACATAGCTGGTGGACCTCAAAGTAGTTCCTTTGTGCTTTTCCCTAAATTCTCCATATACAATTAGTTGCAAATCTAAAATAACTCTGTTATATGGGCTTTTCCCCCAGCCCCCATTTCATCTTCTTCTGTAGACCCTTACCTTTTACTTCTCTGGGACTATGACAGTAGCCTTATACTGGTTTATGTATTAACAGCCTCTTGCAACTCCCATCCATTCTATGTATGCCTAGGGAAATACTTTTTAAAGATAAAAATTTGGTATATCCTTTGTAAAAAGTTTTTAGTCATGCTTTGCTTCTCCCTGCTATAAAATAAACTAAACTTTAGCTGAATTAATGGAAGTGCTGAGTTACCCTCATTCAAGAGTGATTGTTAGGGGGAGACTTCATGGGCCAATATTACTTTCAGATTCATGACATGTGTATTAGACATCCAACTAAAACCATCAGTTTAGCATTTGGATATATAATCTTTGACTTCTCATAGAATGGTTTTACTGAAGCCTATGTAAATAAATGAAATGAACAAAGGAATCAGTACTGAGAAAGAACACCTGATGAAAAAATGGCAAATGGAAAGACAAGCGAAGCAACTATTGAAGAGGGGATATATGACTATTCCAAATGTTTCTGGAAGATCAAGTCAGGCGAATTTAGAACTTGGAACAGAAATTTTGAGATTTTGAAATTTTGAAATTTTGGTGGTTTCTCAAGCTTAAATTGGCATGAGTAAAAGAATAAATTGGACGAGAGGAATTGAAGAGAGTGAGATAAATAACTCTTTAGAAGAACGATAAAATAGAGTTGTAGCTGCTTGAGAAAGACAGGTTAGGTAGGTATGCTTCTTAGGAAGGAAGAAATACAAAGCATGGAAACTTCATGCTGATGATAATAATTACTCAAGAAAGAAAAGTCAATAATGTGAAAGAGATAGTGACATGGAGAGAATTATGGAGCTCTGTCAGGATACAGGAGCCACAGGATATGGAATCTTGTACCTCAAAGGGACTTTAGATCAAAGTTTAGAAGTATCATCAATGGTAGAAGAGGAAAGGAAGAGGTGTCTGCAGAAACTTGTTGGGAAGCATGGTATTCATCATCTGAGGAAATTTTCCTTCTGCCATGTTTTTATTTCTCATTGAAAAAGAAGTAATGTTATTAGCTTAAGAGCAGGAAGGGAAACGGTGAGCAAGTGGATATTTATGAATGAGATTAAGACAGGAAAAAAAATTGACTTTTTGAACTTTTAATATTTGTAAACATGTTTAAATCATAGGTGATATATGAGACAATTTTCTATCTTCCACCTAATGCCTAGCTAATACCTAATACGCAGTTTTAATATATTTTGTCCGGTATCACAGAATATGACTATTACTGGGTAATTTATAAAGAACAATAATTTACTTTTACAGTTCTGAAACCTGGGAAGTTCAAGATCAAGGCACTGGCAGGTACTGTCACCTGGTGAGGAGCACAAACTCCAGAAGGGAGGAATGGGATGACCTCACATGGTGGAAGGTGGAAAGGCAAGACAGCTAGGAGGAGCCCCTTTTATTAGGACCTTAATCCTACCCAAGAGGGGAGGAGCCTTCTGGAAGTAACTACCTCTTAAAAGGCCCCACATATTAATACCATCACTCTGACCATTAAGTTTCAACATCTGGTGTTTCAATAGGGGATCAAAACATAGCAGCTACTACCAATAATAGCAATGATCGCACTAAAACAAAAATAGATCATATTTACTGGGTACTTATTTTCCAGGCACTATTCTAAGTAGTATATATGGATTATGGATTAACTAATTTAATCCTTACAAAACATTAAAAAGGTAGGTAGATAGAATGTCCCCATTACACAGAGGAAGAAAGTTTTGTTTGTTTGTTTTACCCAAGAAAATAAATCTAAAGGGACAACCTGGTAATACTTTCAAAAGCAGTTATCTCATATGTAAATAAATTTATCAGAGTGCTAAGAAAATGACCTTCAGAACACAATGTTGAAGTACCAGACATCTTAGTGCCAGCCATCTTAGCAATTCAGGGGTGATACTTTGGAGACGATTTAGGGATTTACTCAGAGTCCCTTTTTACACACCTCATAAGTTACCTCATAATTGAGCTTCTCATAAGAATACTTTCGAATTTATAAACAAGCCCCTAGACAGTGTGATCAGGTGTCCCTTGTAAAACAATCTTCAAATGTTGCCTGAAACCACATAGCAAAGGAAACCTTAGATGTGCTCCCTGACAGCAAGATGTGCACCTTAGACTTCTGTATCTCTAACGACTTGGAAATGATAGGAGTTTTGGCCAATACTGATTATCAGAATGATGATTTCAGGGCTTTCTAAACCCATGTCTCTATACCCTGATAGCAATCACCTTGAAAGTCTGATTGCTAATGTTCGAACTGCCTTTTGTGTGAAGCTGACAAATTTTGGACCAAATTGCTGTTGGCTATGTTTTCAGAAAGGTAGGCCTTAATGATGACATTTAATTTTTCTTTTTGAACAAATGAATGAGTTTCAAGACTGTTTCTACAAAGACAGAGTACTATATAAATTCCACATGAAAGCAAACCCTAATTTAAAAAATAATACCCTAATGATGCCTAATTACTTCCTTGAGAATAAGCAGCAACCTAATTAGTCACCTTTATCTTCATATGCACCTGGAGTTGCTCTTGTGAATAAAGCATACAAAGCACAGTCCATTTTTAAAACAATGCTCTGCAGCAGGGGAAACTGAGAAGGTTGCGTTAGGAAGGCAAGGTAATTTATGATGAATCATTACAATTTCTAATGGTATTTGATCCATTTTTGAGAGAATTGATAAAATAATTAACAGAGTTTGGAAAACTCTGCAAATTACATAGACTCATTTTAGAGCTAAACATAAAACACTTCCTGGATAAAATGCAGCTTGAGGAAGGAGACAGAGTG